GATCCTAATCAACTAAAAAGACTTAGAGAAAGGCCACTAAAGGTTGCAAATCCTACACCAGGTGTCCCAAATGGATGAAGGTGTTCTATGGTGAAGATGCAAGAGTGTACATAAATGTAAGTTATCATCACTTATGTGGTATTATTTTATATATTATTAATGCATAATGTTAGCTAAATATTAATTTTGTTAATGCTACTTATTTCAGCCGGGACAAAGGGATGCTAATATTTTGTCCCAGTCATCGTCTGCCTCTACAACTTTGCAGCAATCTAGAACTTGATTTTGTAGATGTGGTGCTATGTTATTTGGCTTTATGAAGACCACTTTTAGATAAAGTTGTTGTGCTATGTTAGATTAGTTTTTGTGCAAACCAATATATTTGTTTTTTTGCAAACCAGTGTGTTGGTTCTTTGGCAGACCAATGTATTGTTTTTTATTTTGCAGACCAGTGTTACTTATTTTTTTGTGAAGACCAATACTAGGTCTTTTTTTGTAAGCTAATGATGGGTCTTTTAACACCAGTGAAGGCAACTGTTGGTGTTTTTCTATTATCTGTATATGCCATCTTTTGTATAGGTAATCTATTACTATATTCTGACAAACTCTATGACAAAGCAATGAAAGCATTTTATACTTCAGTCTGTTCATTGGCTCTCCTTATGTTGTCAACCTGATGAAGTAAGATATGGTTCAATCAACCATAATAAATACGTAAAGTTCTCGGAAGAATAAAGTTCATAAAATCAAACAAGTGTTGATATCAATGCACCGAAAGGGATTTTACCCTTTTTAAAACAACACAAGTGCTGATTTCAGAGCTGATTAAGGGGGTGTTTGGATCTGATTCTCAAAATTGATTCTGCTCCTTCAAGGAGCAGAAGCAGAAGCTGGAGTGTTTGGGTGAAATTCCAGAAGCACTTCTGGTGCTCTAATTTACTCCCAGAATGAGTTTTTTCTGTTCTGAAAACTGATTCTGATTCTACTTCTGCTTTGAAAAAGAAGCAGAAGCAGAATCAGTTCCAAACACCCCCTAAAGCTAGAATGAGAACCAATATAAAATGTGAAGATTTCGGTACACTGATTGAAGTTAGAATCAGAACAAATATAAATTTTCAGAGCTGATTTGAGTGCACTTTACTTCTTTTTTTGAAAAAAAAATGTTTGATCTTCTTCCAAAATATACGTATCACAGTTTAATGCATAGGCTTAACAGTGCACTACACTTAATTTCATAGCTCATTTCAATGCACTATACTTAGCAGTTTAATTAAATGATAAAAACATTTATGGAGTATGAAATAATGAGCATCTCATACACTTTATTAACACAAAAAGTATGTTGATACACTTTGAACCAAGAGTTCCAAGTCCAACTGGGGCAATTAACCACTTTAGATATCACACCATAAAATAGCTAATTAATACACTTTACTTACAATAACTGAGGCCATTAATACAAACACACCAACTATAACAAATCGAACAACTACAAATCTAGCTACTATACTTTCAAAATTTCGATCTTTGATACATAAATTCCTTTTGTCTTGTTCACCTCAGTTTGCAACCAACAATTGAGTCTTCAATGTCTTCTTCTTCTCTTTGACTTTTTTCATGTTCATCTCAATCATTTTTTTCTCCTCTTGCCATTTCAGCCGCATATAACTTGAGCATTCATCCCAAGTTTCTCCATGTGCCAATTATCCACACACTGTCGTTTCACTGTCAAACTTTATTTGGCCGAAATGGTTAAATCTAGTCAATATCTTTTAAGAGGAAGAATAATGTTTATAACATCCATTTAAGCAAAACAAACCACTCAAACACTGCTTATTATGTGTATCATATTGATAAGCAATAACTGGTTACCAAATGGAGGATAGAAGGAATAATAAATATTATAACCCACCCAAATGGCTCGTCTCCAGTGTGCCTAACTAAACCAGCAGTATCCTAGTACACCACATTGCTTAGCATCTCCTATGTATGGTTCCTACACATATATCCCACACAATTTTTTGTACAGATTCTCAAATGAGCTCAATTAAGCCAAAACACTCAATATTGAAATTAATGTATTCCAACAGCCTGAAAGATTCAAATGTCAACATTGAACTATTAAAAGGTAAACTCATTACTCTGATTTTTCACCCAAAACTAAGCTAACATATTCACAGTTATGCCAACACTGTCTGAATTAAGTCTTCAAGCACTGCTAGTGCGGCAAACAAAAAATGCAGGAAACACAAGTTGAACTTCCTTCTTTTCATACTTCCCTTTCCCATAAGGGTTGTTCAATTTGAGGGGGGGGGGGGGGGGTAGAGCTGGTTGAATTAAATAGCAAACATTTCGCTGAAATCTTCTCCGACATCACACATCTAACACTCGGATAACCAGTTCAGGGAAATGCATGAAATTTAAGATGCATGTATATTAGAATATAATCTTTGACATTGTATTTGGTATGGATCAAGCCTTAATTTAATTGCATTGGTCTCTCTTCAACACTTTCTTCATTTTCCCACTCTTCAAATGTTTCCTGCAGACCTGCACTGCTAAAAGACGCATATCAAAATTAAAGCTAATTTTTTTGAGTTTAGTACTTGGTGATACAGAATAATCATTATACAAATGATAGTCTACATTTCTATTCTTTTACTTGTTAACTATAAATGCTTAAGCAAGTCTAGGAATAGCCGATCAATAACATCATCGTCATCGTTATTACCCCAGTGTCGCAAAGACTCTCACCTAGGGCTCTTAACGAACCGAGCTTTTATCGAACTATTCGAGTTCGAGCTCAGTTTCGAACCTAACGAGCTAAGTTTTAAGTTCGAAAAATTAATCGAGCCGAGCTCGAACATAGTAGTATTCGGCTCGGTTCGAACTCGAGCCTATCGAACACCCTGAAATCATAAATATAATTTATATACAATCAAAATTTAAGTATAATTAGTATGATTTTATGAATTTAAATATGATTATTAACGAACCGAATACTTGTCGAATCATTCGAGCACGAACCTATTAACGAGCATCACCTAAAATTTTAAATTCGACCATATATATCGAGCTTATCGAGCGCTTGGTTCGAACATCGAATGCCTATCGAGCCGAACCCGAGACTCATTTGTAAAGCTCGCCGAGCTTCGAACTCGAACCAGAACACCATTAATTCCTTATCGAGCCGAACTCGAGCTTTAGGTGTTCGGGCTCGGCTCGGCTCGTTAACAGCCCTACTCTCACCTATGGTGAGGTAAGGGGGTCAGATATTTGCAGCCTTACCCTTGTACTAAAGCACAAAGAGACTGTTTCCGGATGACCCATAGTGAAATTCGTGCCGAAAATTGCATGGACTGACTACTGCTTCATAACAAAGCAGGGCAGATAGTTTAGTGAGCCACTTTGCTTTATTCCATCATATTCCCGAGCCAAAAAAATAGTGAGTCTTTGGCTCCATCTAGTTAGATATTAAGAACGAGAAACATGGACTGGTAAATTCAGTCCTTAGTGTTAGCTCTTGGATAGATGTCTAATTGTGTTAGCAATAAAAACCACCTCGAAGTGCATGTAGAAATACAGATATCGATAGAGTTCTAAAACATATATGCAAACTTAACAAACATGCTTAAAATACAAACCCATTTGAGGTTGTTAACATGGTTGAAATTGGCAGAATTAGAAGTCCAAGGTAATTTATTTGCTGAAATGACTTATGGGTGTGGAGTCACATTATAGGATATGTGATGAGTTTTTATTTGAAACCACACAAAAATGGGTAACAGTGTCATTTAAGTTGATATTAGTCTAATCAACCAAAAATATTACTGGCAAAATAAGCCAAAACAATGGAGGATTTGGTTATTCTTAACAGATTTTTTCAAGCTTATCAGTGCATTTAAGAACACCAAATTGGGTTTAGAGTCTACAAGCCCAATAAATCAGAACTCAGAAGTGTTCCGATATAAAAATAGGATATGGGAACTAATGAGTAGATCCAATCAAATAACTAAAGTAACACATAAACTATAATGAATGCAAACCTCAATGCCTTCACTATTTAGAGCCATAGATTGTTCTCTCTGATGATATAAGTATCTTCCTGATTTTGTTGAGACAACACTTTCACGAAATAAGCTTCCATCTTCTTCCTTGATTTTTGTCCCACTCTCATATATCTTTTTGTTGCTTTCTTCAAGTAATGAAGCAGGAGTCATGCCTCTCTCTTTTCAACTCTTTAACAAACAATAGCCGATCAATAACAACGAAAGAAAACAGTTAAAATCATCAACATCATAAACTATTTGCGCTCACCTCACTAGACTTCCATTTTAGGTCTTGTAACATGAGCTACAAATTCAACATTAATGAGAGGTTGATATAAGTTCACGTAAGGAACACAAGATTTGAAACAAATGAAATTTCTAACATCTACCTGCACCAAAAGATAAGATATTAAAAAAATGAAGCAACATACAATAATACAGAGTATAATTGAATTGTTGTGTTCACCCAAAAAACAATCCCTCAGCCCCTTTAAAAGAAAACAGTCCCTCTACAAAAAGAACTCACCTTTTTACCTAACATCTGTGAAGCCATTGACGTAACCCTGTGAGACTTCGTAATCTACCCTCAGAAACCCGTTTATTACCTAGCGGCAATTTTATTGACGAATGATAGATTGGATTGAGCGGCCCAATTCCTTCAGCCGGGCTCTGACCGTCGGTTCCGATGTTGAGCAGTTCTGAAAGCGTTGAAAGAGAAAGAAATCCCGCAAACACCTTTGGACGGTCGGTTAGTAATTGGATTTTTAATCAGGCATGAATTCTATTACAGGGAAGACAAAAACGATTGGAGTGGTGGGAAGAGTGAAAATGAAAAGGAGATGTCGACGGCAAAAAGAGTGAATTGCTCAGGGACGACCTTGCAATTTTTATTTGTTTTTAATAAAAAAGATGAGTTGGACTAAGTTACGAATAAGAAGATGCCAAGTGGAGAATGCACCCAAACATTCCACAACACAAATGCACCTAAGTGCTCCCCTAGGCGATATTGCTGCTGGGCATTTCCAGTCGTCAGAGGGAAGATTGAGTTAGCAAAAGGCAAAATGAGGAGATTTGAGAAGCCCGCTGTGGGTATAGTGCTGGTGTACTTGATATGTTTCTGTGCAGATGCATCAGAAGCAGTGAAATACAAGGACCCGAAGCTTCCCGTTGGGATTAGAATAAGGGACTTGATGAAAAGAATGAGCATTGCTGAGAAGATAGGGCAGATGACCCAGATTGAAAGGCACGTTGCTTCCCCAGCTGTCATCAGAAAATACTTCATCGGTATATACCTATTCACACTAAATACAATAAAAGAAGATGACGATGAAATAATTAAAAACACTATTTGTAACCACCCAAAGTGAGCGTCTATGTTTTCTCAAGAAGCCCACCAACATATAAGAGCAAGAGTATGAGATTCTCGCAAACATCTAGTAATCGTCAATCCTCAGGTGATGAGTGCACCTCTTATATTAGGAGTCTAATACTTGAATAGTGTGTAGCTTGTTACATTGTTAGAGAGGCGAAATGTTTCCAACAAAAAGTATATGATGCACGCACGACGATTGGAAAAAGCGGATTTCAGTAGGTTTACTGGTCATATACCCGACCCCAGTGAGTTGGAACTGTGGCTTGGTTGTTGTCCTATGATGCACACTATGTGCCTGAAAAAAGAGCAGGAAATGAAGATACCAGCCCTAGGTTTTATATTGGGTGTTTAAGAAAGCATTTTGGTTGGTTGTAACTTGTAACGTGATGGGCAGGGAGCGTTTTGAGTGGTGGAGGGAGTGCACCGGCAGCTAAGGCCCCGGTTGAGGCCTGGGTGAATATGATAAATGAGATGCAGAAAGGTGCTCTCTCCTCCCGTCTTGGGATTCCATTGCTGTATGGGATTGATGCCGTTCATGGACACAACACTGTTTATGGGGCCACCGTTTTCCCTCATAATATTGGGCTTGGAGTCACAAGGTGAGGCATATATGACCGCAAAAAAAGGTGTTCATTTTGGGTTCATATATTAGTAGTTTTAACACATATGTCTCTCTTGGGAATGCATGGAGCAAACCATCCATACTGAATCCAATATATTTGCCTGTCGAAACCAAATTAGTAGTAGTATTAACACATAATATTTTTGTTACATAAACTAATGACAGAGATGCAGAACTTGTAAAGCGGATTGGAGCTGCCACTGCACTTGAAGTCAGAGCTACAGGAATCCCTTATGTTTTTGCTCCTTGCATAGCAGTAAGTACTAGGGCATTGTTTTTTATCAACCATAATGTTGTGTACAAAAAACTAGCTCCGTTTTCATGGAGATTAATAAAAAATAGTAGAGGTTATGAATGCGAAGAGAATATAAATTTTTGGAAAGATAGAATGATGAAGTAGGAAAGAGAAGGAAAATAGAAATTGAAAAAGTAGGAAAGACAAGAAGAAAAGTGGAAAAAGGAGAAGAATTAGGAAAGAGAATATGGGAAAAGTAAAAAAATTAAGAAATAAAATATGAAAAAGTAAGGTACAAGTTACCGAAAATGGAAGTAGGATATATAATGAAAAAATTCCCAAAGAGGAGTAACTGAATAAAGAACAATTAAAAATCAGAGGGTGTATATTCTTAGTGTTAATAATTAATACACATTGCACGTGCACTAAATTATATTGCCTCACGTCTTGTCAAATTAAACCCGAAGTGATAATGACAGATCACTTAGTCCCTTTCAGGTTTTTGCACCTATTGATGTTACGCTACTTTGATTGCATAGGTATGTAGGGATCCAAGGTGGGGACGGTGTTATGAAAGCTATAGTGAGGATCACAAGATTGTGCAGATGATGACTGAGATCATCCCCGGTTTACAAGGAGAGCTCCCTGCAAACTCTCGTAAAGGCATTCCCTTTGTTTCTGGAAGGTAGGAAAGTCCACATTGTTCTTCTTATCTTTCAAGATTCAAGTTTTTCTTTTTATATTTTCCAAGAGCTTCTTTATCAATATATCCTTGATAGCATCTTCTCTCATATTATTTTCAAGTCCACTTGATATTATTTTCTAGCATGTTGTAGCTTTTTTATAGGCTTCTATTGTATATTTAGTCACCTTTTAAATAGGTTTCTTGTTTTCTTTGATTAAGTTGCACCCATTTATTGGGTTTAGGTCCATCATGTAGTTTCCTTCACGAATGAAGAAGATCAATAAAAGTAAATTTTTTATAATTCAACATTTCTGTTTTACAGTTTTGAGAAAAACTTGATCTAATCTAGAGTTCTTGTGCAAATATTAAATATTACCCACTTTGTCTAAAACAAAGAATCATGTTTGTAATGCTGAAATCAATGTTAGGGACATCACTCTTTTTTTGGGATGGAGATGGTATTCATAAAGATATAATGTTATATTGAAGCCACAGGAAAAAAGTTGCAGCATGTGCCAAACACTTTGTGGGGGATGGCGGCACATTCAAAGGCATCGACGAGAATAATACTGTTATTAGGATAAACGAGTTGTTTGATATCCACATGCCTGCCTATATTGATTCAATTAGAAAGGGTGTTTCAACAGTAATGGTATCTTACTCTAGCTGGAATGGCATGAAGATGCATGCTAACCATGCTCTAATAACCGGCTTTCTCAAAGACAAACTCAAGTTCAGAGTAAGATAAGCAGAAAATAAGCCGGTGTTCGGTTCTGAAGTATATATTAGCACTTTTTGTTTGTTTATTTGTATTTCAGGGATTTGTTATATCAGATTGGGAAGGAGTTGACAAAATTACTGATCCACCGCGTGCAAATTACACCTATTCAGTTCAAGCTGCAGTTCTTGCAGGAATTGATATGGTATGTCTGTGAGTTTTATACAACAAGTCAACAACAAGATACAAGGCTTATTCTCAAAAGATTTTGGAGTCGGCTAACATGAATCGATCCATGATATCAGAGCAAAAAAGGGAAGAAAGCTAAGAAGAATAAAAAGATCAAGTAAGATAAAATGGATAAGATAAAAATGAATGCTACCTCCGTCCCAAAAAACTTTGTCATTTCAAAGAATTTGAACCATGATTTTGATTAGTATAATATTATGAAAGTTATAAATTCTATACTTGTACTTTTAACAAAGAACATTTTCATATAATTTTTATATTATCATAATTTCCAATAAAAAGATATAGTTGGTCAAAATTTTGAAATGACAAAGTGTTTTGGGATGGAGGTAGTATAAAATAAAAATAACTTAAGAACATAAGATAGATAAAAGATAAAAAGATAAAAGAGCATAAGAAATATAAAAAAACATAAACACATTGAAAGATAAATAAGATAAAAGATAAAAGAAAACAAGAGAGGAAAAAGAGAAAAGAGATCAATCGTCCACACAGATATGCGCACTTCACTTTGCTTTCTCCAAAACCATACTCTCATCCAACCCAAGAAGAAAGCATGTTAGTTCTAATTCATCTAATCCAAGTCTGTTTGGTCTTCCTCTCCCTTTCCTCATGTAGGTTTTGGGAATAAAATTCCTTGATTGAATATGCCAATCGGTAGGGGTTTAAATACAGGATGTACAAGTAACAAACTACCAGAGTAGATCCTATTTTTTAGGATCTGACTAACTACAATCTTATCAATAAGCAACAGATTCTAATCTAATCTAATAGACCAGTCTTCTAATCTAATCTATCCGGTAATTATGTACACACAATAATTAAGAAATAAATGTAACATTTTCTACACCTCCCCACCTGTCAAGTCATGTAACTAGTGCATCACTCGGTCTTCTGTGCACATGATCAAACCAACACAATCGAGACTCATTCACAACACAACATACACATCTCATTTTTCAAGCGGTCTTTTCTGGTATGTCCACACATCCAACACAACATACACATCTCTATCACATTCATCTTTTAAATGTTACATTCTTTCACCGTCCAACACTCCATGCCATACATTATTGTTGGCCTAATTGTTGCCCGATAAAATTTACCCTTCAGTCTCGTCGGCATACCTCAATCACATAGAAATCCTAATGCGCTCTTCCATTTCATCCACCCTGCTCTGATTCTATGGGATACGCCTCCATCTAATTTATCATCCTTCTGAATTATGGAGTCCAAGTAACGGAACATATCACACAGTGGTATCTTCTTGCCATCAAGGGTAATCCCACTGTTATTATTACTCTTACCTCCACTAAACTTGCACTTCATATACTCAGTTTTGCTTCAGCTCATGAAACTCTTGGTCTCCAATGTTCGTTGTCATACTTTCAACTTTGCTTTAAACACCCGATTGCGTCTCATCAATCAATACAATATCATCGACAAACATCATGCACCACGGTATATCTTCATGAATTGATTGTGTAAGTTCATCCATGACTATAGCAAATAAAAAGGACTGATACGGAGCATAGGAAAGCGACCGGAGTAGAGCCGGGCCCCAGGCCTTTGTTGGTCTATCGTAGGCGGGGTCGGGCCTGAGCCCACATCCGTGGGCTGGCGAGTTTATTTAGCTTTAATTAATTACATGGTTATTTCCTTTTATTTTGGGTTTCCTAATTTATGTTTATTTCCTAGTATGAGTTATTGAGGAGTTTTACCTTAATTAGGAGAAGTAGTCTATATATATCCCTAAAGAGGGCCATTCGAACCATGCTTGATTATTAATAAAATTTGTGTTTAAGCTTTAAGATTGGCAACAGTTGCTATCGTTGATTGTTATTTTCTGTTCTTATCAATTGGTCCGACGTAGAAGAGGAGCAAAAGAAAGATACCTTCTTTCAAGAGATTATACAGGCACTGGAAACCGATCCGAATAGCGTACCGGGATATGAAATAGTGGGAAGGCGGCTGATCTTCAAAGGCCGGTTGGTCCTAGCTTCAGACTCTAAATGGATTCCTCGCCTAATGGAGGAATTTCATCACACGCCGACAGGTGGCCACGCTGGAGCGTATCGAACCTACCGAAGACTTGCAATGAACGTATGGTGGAGAGGAATGTTCCATCGGGTGCGAGCTTATGTTGCTCAATGTTTGGTCTGTCAAAAGGCTAAATACGAGGCCGCATCACCGGCTGGACTGGTGCAGCCCCTACCTATTCCCAGCTTGGTTTGGGAAGATATTTCCATGGACTTCATCACTTGCTTACCCAAGTCGAAGGGATATACATCCATTCTGGTGGTGGTGGACCGTCTATCCAAATATGGGCATTTCATTGCCCTAAAAACTCCGAGCACAGCACATTCGGTGGCTGAAGCATTTGCCAGGGAGATAGTCAGGTTACACGGCATTCCGCGCTCAATTGTAAGTGACCGGGACTCATTATTTATAAGTGCCTTTTGGAAGGAGATTTTTGCCTTGTCAGGTATTCAGGTATACAATTAAAGTTTAGTTCGGCTTACCACCCGGAGACAGATGGACATACATAAGTATTGAATCGGGTATTGAAAACATATTTGCGTTGTTTCACGTGTGAGCAGCCGCGGCAGTGGTTACACTGGCTGTCTTGGGCTGAATATTGGTATAACACCGCGTTTCAAACATCAACGGGAATCTCACCGTTTGAGGTGGTTTACGACAGGCCACCCCCCACGATTCGGCGATTTCTACCGGGAGAAGGCACGGTGGCAGCAGTAGCAGACGTGTTGGGAAGTCGGGATATCATGTTGAGGCGTCTGAAAGAGAGTTTACAAGTTGCACAACAACACATGGTAACTCAGGCCAATAAGCACCGCCGAAATGTGACAAGGTGTTCTTGAAGGTTAGACCACACCGACAAACCACTCAAGCACGCATTGGACCGACAGCTTATCGCCTTGCACTACCCTCCACCAGCCGCATCCACCCAGTTTTTCATGTTTCTCAGCTGCGGAAAGTGATTGGAGATCACCCGGTGGATATTAATTAATTACCCTCGTGCTGCGTATATTAATTAATTAAGTGTGTATATATATTAACTGTATATATATATTAACTGTATATATATTAATTAAGCTGCGTATATTAACTACCCTCCACCGTTGGTTTTTTTAATACTTCGTGCTGCGTATATTAATTAATTAAGTGTGTATATATATCATTATATCAATATATTTGTATAACGAATACTCCATAGTCCGTCCATTAAGCATACTTCCTCCGTTCCCTTTTAATTGCAACTGTCAACATTTCACGTTTGCCAATGCACAAGTTTGACCATTAAGCATATATCTTTCCTTCCTGATTAGTAAAAAATTTTAAAAATTCATATTTTGAAAATTTGGAATGAGAAGAATTGAACACTGTTTTAAAAAAATTTAATTTATAATACATTAATAAATAAAATATAATCAAACTAGAATATGTGAATAATGCAAAAAATCCAATGTTGCAATTAAAAGAGAACGGAGGTAGTATATTATATACATACACATAGTCAGATGCTAAAATTTTACAATATTATTGTATGTTATAAATTAATAAACTATTAAACTATTAATAAAAACTACGTAGTATTATGTATTTCACAAAAAAAAACTATTATATATATAATTACAAATATATAATATATTATACTATGTGCGACTAGTCACCTAATTGTCGCCTAGGCAAACGCCTTGTCGCCTAGACGATATGGCGGTCGGCTAGCTCTGCGACTCACCTTACCATAAGTATGAACAGAACCAACTCAAATGTTCTTCCCGCTTCATTTCTAGTGTTAAACCCATGTCCGCCGTGGATACTCTCAAAACTATCACAACTTGGGCATCTGTGAGATTTATGAATGACAAAAATCCACTACTCCAGTGGAAACCTTGAATGATTTGGTTTCACATAATGCATCAAAAGTTATTTCAGATTAGGGGCCATTATTGCCTCACATCGATGCACTCTATTGCCAGGAATTCCATTCTTGTGGGGAATCACGTTGTTTACACTTGTCTGGGGTCAGAAGGAGTTCTTGAGAATTCCCTCAATCGTAGGCTATGTTTGAATTATGGAAGTTCTATATCAATAGGAAGGAAAATAACAAGGGAAGTTATATACTCCCTCAGTCCCTTAAAACTTTGCCAAGATTGACCGACACGGGGATTAATAAAGTAAAGTTGTGTGGTTGAGGTTTGTACAGACGAGAGAAAATTAACTGAAACCACAACTTCTTTACTTAAAAGGGAAAGTGGCAAAGTTTGTGGGACAACCAAAAAAGGAAAGTTGGTAAAGTTTTAAGGGACGGAGAGAGTATTAATGTTTGGCTTTATCTTGGAAAGAACAAAGGAAACTTAAACTGTTTTTTATTATATATTTTAAAGGAAAAATTGAAAATAATAATCCCAACTATTGCCGGTCCGTTGACAATAATCCCAACTATTGATTATTTTTGTATAATCCCAACTATATGGACCGTCCGCCAATAATGGTTCATGACCAGATATTACCTCCTATAACAAGTGAATTTTAAATAGAAATTAAGTGTAAAAATTAAAAGTTAGGATTATTTATAGGGATTACTTGCTATATCTCTTCTCATCTACTATAGAAACTACAAGAATTTATTTATAGGGACCATTATTGGCGGAAGATCCCTAAAGTTGGGATTATTATGAAATAATCGATAGTTGGGATTATTATGAGCGGACCACCAATATTTGGGATTATTACTATCAATTTTTCCTATTTTAAATGTATTTACATTTAGACATCTTAGTTTTTATATGATATAAATGATTAAGCTAATCTTTCATTTTCCTTCAGGTTTTGTTTCCTTCCAAATTCCTATCTTTTTTCATCCCTATTTTCTTTCCCTGGTACCTTCTAAGTACTGTCCGAACAGACCCTAGGAGGTCTCAATTCCTGAAATTGAAGGCATCATATCAACTGTGTTTTGTTAAGTTTCAGGGAATTTAGCTAGTTCTCATTCAAAACATGTTTTTAATTCATAGTAACTCAATTCCCAATAAGTCTATTCCGATCATCAAATCAATCTAAGTGAGTTCCTTAGAGATATGGGAAATCAGGGATACAAGAAATGGTTGTTGCCTTTTCATTTTAGTCACTTTGCTAATATACAACTCATCATCTGTGAATAACTCAGGTAATGGGTCAGGAGAGGTTGGCAGAGTTTTTAGACATCCTCACTTACCTCGTGAGGAAAAACTTCATCCCTATGAGTAGAATAGATGATGCTGTCAGGAGGATATTACGTGTTAAATTCATGACAGGTCTGTTTGACAACCCAATTGCAGATCTCAGCTTGAAGAGCTACTTGGGCAGCCAGGTAATAAATTAATGATGTGTTTTACGCATAAAGGAAGGAATATATGGGCAATGGAATTTTAATTTATGAGGAAAAAAATAGCGAGATATTTAAATCCCATTGTTTGGTAGGGACATAAATTAGTGAGATTTATTCAGTTGGTAATATTTTGAAAAAGGAATAATGAGGTTTGTGACCAAAAATCCCTTTTACAGTAGTGGGAAGGGGTATATATTTCCCTTTGCATCTGACTTCTCTCCCCATATGGTGTGGACTGTGGAAAGATAATACTGGGAGCAAGGATGTGGGATTTTTTCCGTTGTGCAAAGTGCAAACATTGCTTGGGTCGATTCATGTTAGCCGACCCCAACATCTTTTGGGAATAAGGTTGGGATGTTGTTGTTTGTACTAAACATTGCTATTTTTCCTATCTTACCGAATAATCAAAGTAGTTCCACTTTACCGAATGATTTATTAGTGTTCGAAACATTTAGCTCAAAATTGTGTGATTTTGGGGTCACCAAACCTGGGTCTAGCTTCTTAAGACTGTTTTTTCCCAGCATGAAAGGGTAAAAAATATTCTGATGTTTTTTTTAGTTTGTACTGAACATGGCAATTTTTCTAGCTTCAGATTAACCAAGTTTAAATTCCCATTTACCGAATGGGTTATTAGTGTTTGAAACATTTGGCTCAACATTATATGTGATTTTGGAGTGCAGAAGTAACAGCTTGCCACATTTTTTGTACTCTTTGTAGAATCCCCCTTTTTAATCAAAATAAATAAATCTATCTAATAGGAACACAGAGAACTGGCAAGAGAAGCCGTAAGAAAGTCACTTGTCCTCTTGAAGAATGGCAAAACAGCAGATCATCCATTACTTCCCCTTCCAAAGAAAGCAACAAAGATTCTCGTGGCTGGGACCCACGCGGATAACTTAGGCTACCAATGTGGGGGCTGGACTATAACGTGGCAGGGTCTTGGAGGCAATGACATCACAAACGGTAAACATTTTCCACATTTTTTGTACTAAGGTTTTGCCTGCAGTTATTAACACAACTTTGTCCATAGTCTCACTATGCCATTCAATATTCCTAAAAACGAGTTCTGCTCGGAAAATCCTCCATAGTATCAGAAACATGGTCTTTTTTAATATAAGTACCACATGTATTCCATTTTTGGGGATAAAGCTTGGATGTTGTTGTTTACATATTCCATGTTTCAGATTGCTTACAAGTTTTCTTTTATTTACCATAATTAGGGACTACCATGTTATCTGCCGTGAAAAGAAGCGTCGAGCCGTCCACACAAGTTATCCACCAAGAGAATCCAGACACAAAATTTGTCAGTGGCAATCGCTTTGACTATGCCATTGTTGTAGTCGGGGAGGTTCCCTATGCAGAGATGTTTGGGGACAGCTCCACTCTTACAATACCTGAACCCTGTATCACTACCATCAACAATGTCTGTGGCATTGTACAATGTGTGGTGGTCATCGTCTCTGGCCGTCCAGTTGTGCTTGAGCCTTTTGTTAGTAAGATAGATGCACTTGTGGCTGCTTGGCTTCCGGGAACTGAAGGCCAAGGTGTCACAGATCTTTTATTTGGTGACTATGGGTTCACGGGAAAGCTTGCTCGAACTTGGTTCAAGTCAGTCGATCAACTCCCTATGAATGTTGGTGATCCAAATTACGACCCATTGTTTCCTTTCGGATTTGGTCTCTTGACGAAACCTGTATAAAAGGAATTTCAAAAAAATAAAATGTCTCTGTTCACATTTCTCTGTGTTATCCACTACTCTCAGTATCATGTGTGAATAAGTTTGCACAGATTCACTGATACAAATCGTTGATATTTAGTCTTCATAAAAATGTACCTTGTGTGTGTGTGTGTGTGTTTGTTAGGTTATTACTGTATTTCTTTCCCTTAAAAGACAAGCACACAACGTATAACTTTGATAAAAGAATGGTTTAGTTGGAATGCATGTTAGCAATATGATTACATTGATCTAAAGTAGAAACAACATGGTTCTCAACCGTGTTGGGCAATTGATGTGAACATAGGATGCAGTACGAGTATCGCCCTCACATGGACGAAAGAAGGAAGTGTCAAATTTATTCTAGCGATTTGGCGATTTCAGAAATAATTAAATTAAAAAAATTGTGCGAGATTGATTTGGAACATTAATTGTAGTGAAAAGAATTAAATATTTTGGGTGAAACGATAAAATGACAAAAAAAAAATTATTTTGAGGCAATCAAATTTTAGGTATGAGATTGATTTGGAACACTAATTGTAGTGAACAATAAATAAATATTATGGCTCTAATGATAAAATGACAAAAAAAGATTTATTTCGGGGCAATCAAATTTTAGGTATCATACTAAATTATTCAATTGAGCATCGCTATCATACTAAATTCTTATCACTCTCGCGGCTTAGAGTACAACGATATGGATCGTATCTGTGAGATATTTATTGTGAAATATGATCCAAGCGTTCAATTTGATCCTTGATAATATTATTTTAATTAGGTGTCGTGGAGCTTAAATTAAAATAATATTGAAGGATAATACAAATATTATTATTTGTTAGACGTGTAGTGTTATTTTTTCTATAAGATTAAGATTTAAATTGATAACACATCATTCAGATAGTAGGTAAAACGACAAAAAGACTCCTGACAACTGTCGACCCTCGAACCAGACTCAGAGTTTATCATCTCGATTGAAGCAATATAACTCGTTGATCCATTAATGGGCGCAAATGAGCCAAAGACGGTTAACACAGTCCTTCTATCACCCACATCCAAATCCACAGTCTTAAAACAAAATAAAACAAAAAACCGAAAGTAAACAAAAAAAATAAACAATCTGATCATGAAAAGTAAATAGCAAGCAAACAGTAAAATTAAAATGCTGCTTCCAAACCCTACACTCTCCTGCTCTCCATGGCGGTGGTTCAGGAGGGGGACGATCCAGCAGTACTGTAGCTGCTCCCTCGCCTTGCTTCTTGTTCATTGTGTTCTCTACCAAGCTTCCTCTGTCACCACCTATCACGAATGACCTCGAATCCAGATCTGTTCCAGTCTCTAGCCACACGCTTCGTCCACAACCTATGGCCGCTAGAGACCAAACATCCACCTGTCATCTCTGCACATCTTTCTTCCGCCGGTGACTTAGCATCCCCGACCCTCCGCTTAATCTCGCCAAAGCAAAAGAAGAAAAGCCGCACAATTGATGGCAGGAGAAGAAACTTGTCACCTAATCCCGCTTGTGATAGAGACTGAATCTCCACTGAATCAAACCAGACACATGCGTCGGAAAAATCCTCCACCGGACGAAGTCAAGAATGACTACTGATGGAGTTTAATCCAACTACGAGAGCTATATCTACGAGAGCAGATGAAATTTAGGCAGCGTGAAGCAGTATTTTATTATCTGGAGTTCGGTCCTTTGATAGGAAATATACATGAAGTATTTATATACTCTAGGAGCTAGTATTCTAGGAGGAAACTAATTAATGTTATTAATTGTATTCTAGTCGAATAGAACACCTGTAACGTTTGGACGTTGTGCGATGATTATCTCCTTTAAGTCCACGTTCTTCCGTTTATTCCTGTCTACTGCCAGATAGCTATGCACCAATGATAGCCTGCCACGTTAGCGCTAGGAATATCCCGGCCTCACCAGAACTCCGCCCAGGCTCGAGGTCTGCTGTCCAGCCTGGCCTGGTTTTGGGTTCCTTTCGTGGTCCTTACTCTTAGCTAGGTCTGGTGGCTAATTAATATTAATCTCGTTTAGGGCTAATCCCGTTGAGCGCTAATCCTGTTTATAGGCTGATCCCATTATGGGCTGATCCCATTATGGGCTAGACTCGGTAATTGGGCCATGGTTCGGATCCATGATACCATCACGAGCCCCCTACTCTCTAAAATCAGCAGGGCTGGATTTTAGGAGAGTAAAAAGCGGGTAATTTCAAATTTCAAATCTTTTGGTGGACTGTAGCGCCGCTCCGCATTAAATGCGCCCGACTTGACACAGGTCTGCAGCCCGACACAACTTCCAATCCGCCCCACCATCTTCAGCACTCAAGTGTCATGATTGCGGTTTCTGAAGCGGTCTTCATGCCCTAATTCATTGGCTATTTAAACGCTTGCCACTCTTCAAAAAATCCTTCTGCAATTTTATTCTCGCGCAAGCATTCTGCTTTCTTGGTTGGTGTTATCAGAATTAAGCATATAATAGTAATGAGAATGGAAGAATTTTCTAAGTATTTCATTGGAGGGTTAAGTCCCTATATATATACACATTACAAAGATAGAATATTCCTATAAGATGCTATACAATAATAATATCCTAAAGTATATTCCTAAAATATTCTAAAGCATATTCTAAAGATAGAAGAATATTCTAAAGCATATTATACAGCATATTCCAATGTCTTTCACACTCCCCCCTCAAGTTGGAGCATATATATTTATCATGCCCAACTTGTTACATAAATAACCAACCTACACGAATTCCATTTAGTGCTTTAGTGAACAAGTCTCCAAGTTGCTCTCCCGTCTTCACATATCCTGTAGAGATCAATCTTTGTTGCATCTTTTCTCGAACAAAGTGACAATCGACCTCAATATGTTTTGTTCTCTCATGAAACACTGGGTTGTTGGCAATGTGTATAGAAGCCTCGTTATCACACCAGAGTTTAGCAGGCATTGGTGTCTTCAGTCCGATTTCACTCAATAGATGATTTATCCAGATTATCTCACATGCCGATTGTGCCATAGCCCGATATTCTGATTCAACACTCGAACGAGAAACCACATTCTGATTTGATTTGCCCTTTATCATTCCAAATCGTTCAATTGATTGACTGAATTTCCCGAACCATGCACGGGGACTCTGTTTCAAACCATAAAGAGACTTGCGAAGTCGACACACTTTTCCATACTCCCCCCGAGCAACAAACCCCGGAGGTTGCTCAATATAAACTTCCTCCTGAAGATCACCGTGCAAGAATGCATTTTTAATGTCCAACTGATGTAAGTGCCAACCATTAGTTGCAGCGAGAGAAATAAGTAACCTGACATATGTTAATTTAGCAACAGGAGAAAAAGTGTCAGAATAATCAACCCCATAGGTTTGAGCATAACCCTTCGCTACTAATCGGTCTTTCAACCGAGCAACGGATCCGTCGGGGTTAACCTTTACAGCAAAGACCCACTTACATCCAATAGATTTCTTCCCTGTAGGCAAGTCTACCAAATCCCAAGTACCATTAAGATCCAAAGCATTCATTTCCTCTACCATGGCATGACGCCATTCAGGATGGGACAGAGCGTCTTTAACAGATTTCGGAACAGAAATAGAATCAATGGAAGCAATAACAGAACATGAGGCAGATGATAACTGATTATACGACACAAATGAAGAAATAGGATGAATATAAGACCGTGTACCTTTACGTAGTGCGATAGGGAGGTCAAGATCTGATGTAGAGGCAGGATCTGGAGATGCAGGTATTGGTTCAGGACATGAGATCGAGACCGGATCAGTATCAGGATAAGTAACCACAGGTGGAGGGTGATCTTGTACTTTGTTTCGACGGGTGTAGACCAAATGTACCGGAGGACTAGGCTCAGGAAAAGTAACATGTGGAACAACGGCTGAAGCAGTGGACTTAGGTATAGTGACTTTGTAAATGAGTATATCATCATTCTCCCTACAAATATTTGTCTCTGTTGATGAAAACATCGTATTTTCATAAAAGGAGACATCAATTGAAACAAGATATCGACCCGTACTTGGACAAAAACATCTGTAACCCTTTTGAGATCGAGAGTAGCCTAAGAAAATGCACTTTAATGACTTCGGATCTAACTTTGTTAAATGGGGATTAACATCTCGTACAAAACAAGTGCAACCAAATATTTTAGGAGGGATAGGAAAATTTTCATTATTTGGAAATAGGCACTGATATGGAGTTTTACCATCCAAAACAGTAGATGGCATTCTATTGATCAAAAAACACGCGGTAGACACAGCATCTGCCCAAAACTGTTTAGGCACATTCATTTGGAATAGAAGAGCCCGCGCAGTTTCTAATAGATGTATGTTCTTTCGTTCAGCAACTCCATTTTGGGGAGGTGTGTCTAAACATGAAGTTTGATGAATGATGCCATGTTGAGCCATATACAACTTAAATGAGGAAGACAAATAATCTTGAGCATTGTCTCCCCTTAAAATACGAACAGGTACATTAAATTGAGTTTTAATTTCAGCACAAAAGACACAAAAATGAGAAAATAACTCAGAACGACATTTCATGAAATATATCCAAGTCATACGAGAATAATCATCAACAAAGGTAACAAAATATTTAACACCACTTTTGGACACAACAGGGCAAGCACCCCAAACATCAGAATGAACAAGTTCAAAAGGAGCGTGTGCTCGTTTATTGACTCGGGGACTTAAACTAGTTCGATGACGTTTTGCAAATTGACATGAATCACACTGTAAAGATGACACCTTTTTAAATTGAGGATGAAGTTTCTTTAACAACGGGAGAGAGGGGGATGGCCTAGTCGATAATGAGCCTCTAACACAGTTCCAACTCCAAGACAAGAGATGAATTTGGGTAAGGATGTATCTAAGAGATAGAGACCAGTCGACTCATATCCTTTACCAATAACCCGATTCGTCACCAGATCCTGAAATACACAATATCCAGGACAAAAAGTTACAGAGCAATTAAGATTACGTGTGATTTTGCTGATCGAAATCAAATTAAAGGCAAAGTTTGGAAGACTTAGGACGGGTGACAAAGGTAAGGTAGGTGTTGGGACAATTGTACCCGTTCCAAGAACTAGTGACGTAGATCCGTAAGCCAAAGTAACACTAGAAGTATGAAGAGGTGTGTGGAATGAGGAAAAAAGACTAGGATTACCTGTCATATG